AAGCTATTCTTTTTTTGGTTTTGATCTATGTGAAGTGATTTTGTGTCTGTGATAAGTACTATACAAATAAAAATGTACTTACTTACTTTGCCATGCATGGTGCAAAAACATTTTACATGTGTTTATTTATAGAACCAGGTAAATTCATTTGTTACTGTGAAAAAGAATAGATGTATATATTTGAACAAAGTGAACCCAAAGTCTTGCTATGAGGTTAAAATTGACATTTGGGGTTTTAGGGTGTTCAGCTGACCCTGCGTTCTGAGTCTGACGTTTTTACTGAAATATGCTGGCTGACCTGTTATTGTGCATCCATCTGGCATAAATAAATCAAGTGTGATAAATCAAGCCAAGGTGATTTTGTGAGCTTGAACTTCTGATGACCTTTGTGCTGAAGTCAGTCTGCTAACATGTTTACATTGTACGCTGGTCTTCAGCAGCAGGCTGGTGTGTGGTAGGTTTTATAGGAATTAACACTCCTCTGAAAAAGCAAAACATGTTGGAAATCTTCAGAAACTCCATTCCAGCACATGTTAGTTAAAAGGGTTTGTTTTGTTTTATCCAACTTAATCTGATGGGTCATTTTCACTTGTTCTGGCTGATATCAGGTTGTTTTAAACCTGCTGTCAAATACTGAGTTGCATCCCAAGAACACCATACCTACTGTGAAGCATGGGGGTGGCAACATCATGCTTTGGGGCTGTTTTTCTGCTAAGGGGACAGGACGACTGATCCGTGTTAAGCACAGAATGAATGGGGCCATGTATCGTGAGATTCTGAGCCAAAACCTCCTTCCATCAGTGAGAGCTTTGAAGATGAAACGTGGCTGGGTCTTCCAACACGACAATGATCCCAAACAGACCGCCCGGGCAACAAAGGAGTGGCTCCGTAAGAAGCATTTGAAAGTCCTGGAGTGGCCTAGCCAGTCTCCAGACCTCAACCCCTTAGAAAATCTGTGGAGGGAGTTGAAAGTCCGTGTTGCTCGGCGACAGCCCCAAAACATCACTGCTCTCGAGAAGATCTGCATGGAGGAATGGGCCAAAATACCAGCTACTGTGTGTGCAAACCTGGTAAAGACCTATAGAAATCGTTTGACCTCTGTTATTGCCAACAAAGGTTATGTTACAAAGTATTGAGCTGAATTTTTGTTATTGACCAAATATTTATTTGCACAATCGGTGGCTGACTAAATACTTTTTTGCCCCACTGTAATTTAACAAATATATACACAATTTTAAAGTAAAAGGCTCGTTATATTGAAATTTTCACGTATAAAACATAACGTTACCTCCCGTGTCACGTGACGTTACGTGACAACCACGGAAGCCGCGGTCACGTCATGCTAGTCTGTTCCATTTAACAGTTTTCTTTGACCGAGGAAGGACGGTGTCCTTGCAGGTGCATGGTCTCGCAAGACATCGCCTTGCGAAGCCAGGCACCTTGACACGGAGAAACATCTTCAGCCTTTTTAAAAGGAGAAAAACTGACAACCTTGCAGCCGCCTGAGAGGGAAATCTGTTTCAACATAACCTTCCTTCCAACATGATACATTAGACTGTGACTCTTTCACTGTAGAACTCTTAATTAAATTCCACCCTGCTTTGAGTAAAATCATCGACAGAGTCTTGGATTTTCTGACTTTATTTCTCACAGTTAAACTTTTCACAATGCGGAATTCCTCAATCAAATCAGGTTTAGAGCATTTTTATGCTTCTAGATCAAACAACTGATAAAATGGAACAAATTAATTTTTTTCTTACTTCTAAAAAAAGCTTTAAATGTTGTTTATCCAGCAACAAAATGTTTCTGAAGGTGCAGCCTCATGTGGGTTAAACTGGTCCACGAAACAATTCAATCTGCCCCAAAGTAGCCTCCATTAGAAGGGAAGTGAACATCTGTTTGGTGTATTTGCTGCTTGGCAGGAATGTTGTGAAGTGAAGTTGACAAGTTAGTGGAAAGTGGAGCCTCTTCTGAGTGATTAGCTGGAAAAATATCTGGGATTCTGAACGTCTGGAGAAGCTAAAGCAGGTTTGGATGCTTGAAGGTTCTTGTGTGCTTTTAGTAATTATAATACAAGGTTATATATTTTTAAAGATATTCACACATCAGCATGTTTCCTACGACAGGACTGTTTCAAATGTCCTCTGAGAATGTAAGCTTCGGTGCGTTAGCGCTTGCTTTTGAGCAACAAAAAACAATCAAATGTGGTCGAATTAACAAACAAAAAACACTAATTCTGCTGCTTAATAATGAGATTATGAAGCTTATAATGAAGCAACAAAAAGCTGGAAACTGGCACCTTGAGTGAAAATCAAAACAGCTGGTTTATGTTTTTTTTTTTGTTTCTTTCTTTTTACTTTGTTTCCATATTAATGTGAGAAAGTGTGCAACCTAGCATTTATGCTTGGGGTGATGTCTCTTAAGGGATTTTCTCTCCTGAGAAACTACATCAAGCATGGCGTTCTGCTGAGCTGTGATACCTTCCTGCAGGGAGCGTCGGCTGGCATGCGCACACGACTTCCAACCATGGAACATTGTCCCCTTCCTGATTCTATATTTTCACTGTCTTTAAAGTTACACAGAGCAGTTTCCTGCTCCTCCACCTACTGACTGAACGTGGAACTGTCAAACAACCTTGCAGAAGCCTGCTGTAGCTAGCAACAACAATGAGCTAACTCTAACAGGAGCCACCTACTACTAAAATAAACCACTAACTAAAAAAGACTCACACTGTTCGACAAAAAAAAAATACTTACAAGTCCAGTAGCAACAAAGCCAGGTCACCATCAGTCCGTGATTTCATGGCCTCCTTTAGCTCCCTCAAACTAGCATAGGCCACGCTGATGTTCACTCCGGTTTTAGCTCTAGGCTTTGCCTCCAAAGACATTACTCTCTTACTTTCACTTCCAGGCTCCGCCGTGATGCCAACAGCAAAAATAAACTTATTTTTTTCTTGAGCTTTTAATGTCAATCGACGAACTGAAAATGCTAAATGCTGGCATAACAGCTAACAGCTGTAAGGCGGGTAAAGAACACACCATGTGGGACACCGCTCTGCTCCACAAAACTGTTAGGTGCAGTTTCTGGTCAGCAGAGGGCTGCAGAGCGCAGTTCAGGGTGAAATTGGTAAAGTCGCTACTCACAAAATCACTTCAAACACATTTAAAAGAATTGTCATGTTGAGGGTTTGGGGGAGGATCCATGTGCATTTGAGTGAGGCTCTGAGACATAAGGAGATGGTGTGGTCAGGAGAGCAGGAACAACAAGAGATCACAACGACGAGGGCAGAACATAACAATGACAGCCAAGCTGGGCGCAGTAGCAGATGAACTAACATTACACAAGGGACAAACAGGGTTTAAATACAAGAGGACACAGGTGAGGCAGGGTATCAGGCAAACAAGGAACAGGTGAGACTAATTAAATACCGACAAGGGGAGACAAGAGAGAAAAAACTGGGGCTGTGGAGCAGCACGTGACAACAATAGCTTAAAGCAGGAATATTCAATTCCAGGTCAGGAGGGCCGGTATCCAGCATTTAATTAATTTTAACTCTGTTCCAACACACCTGATTTCAATCAGCAGGTGATTCAACTGCTGAATCAAGTGTGTTGAAGCAGAGAAACCACTAAAAGGTGTTGAATACAAGGACCAGAATTGAATACCCCAGGCTTAAAGTGTTACTGTTTATTGTTACTTTAACCAGGGCTGGATTGTCATTGCAGGGGACACAATGTGCTTGTCTCCTTCCTCCTCTTGACTCCTGTCTCCTTCCTCCTCTTGTCTCCTTCTCCTTCCTCCTCTTGACTCCTGTCTCCTTACTCCTCTTTTTGTCTCCTCTTGTTGGTCTCCTCTCTTACCTTCAGAAAAACTGCTTTCTATTAGTAAATTAATTTACAATGTCATCAGAGTCCAGATTCCTGACAAGCTGAGATTCAATAGCCATCAGTGACAGTGCACTGAGGCGCTGTTGACTTTTTGCTGTTCTCAGTTCATTTTTTATTCTTGCCATTTGTGAAAATCGTTCCCCTTCACAATTTGTAACTGGTAGAATTAGAAAAATCCACAGGGCCACAATCACATTAGGGAAGATGGACTGTAGACTATTTTTTAGCCCAAAAACGATCCTGGTACTGCTTATATTAAATTAGCTATGTGGACTCTCTGGGGATTATTTTGAGCGGGGAGGCGCAAAGGTCTGATCGTTGACGCGCTCCAGACAGATGCGTCCTGAGAACGGCCGCAGTAACATTATGAAAAGTGTTGCCAGCTCTAAAATAAATTTAACACGCAATCGTTTATGTCAGCTTATCCTTTCATGCTTTCTGTCTTTTATTTGTGTCTGATGCGTTTCGCTGCTGCGGAGCGAGCGCATCACCTGGAGCGCATCGGTGTGCCCGGCGCGCAGCGCACATTCCGCTGTTTTTGCGGTCGGTAGATCTTTTAGAACTGCAGTTGAAAGGTAGCCCATAAGGTGAATATATATGTCCTGAAGGTTTTTCTTCAGGATTGAGAGGAGATGCAGGAAGATAATAAACAGAAAGGACAGAAAAATAGTCAAATAAAAACAAGTTCGTTTTTGTACCTGGTTGCAACAAACAGACACCACTGAAGGTAATCAGAAGTGAGAAACAGAAAATTAAATGGTTCTTTCAATGTTTAGATCAGCAGGAACTCTGAGAGGCAGCAGGTGCATCAGTGAGTTTGCGGCCGCTACGCAGGGCGAGGGGGGAGAGGGCTGAAGCAGGCAGTAAAGATGCAAAAACTACCATTGTTAAAAGAAATGTGTGTTAACTTAGAAAATGCGGACGCAAGTTTAATTACTTGTTAACTTCTTTCTCCAACGTTAAGACTGCTGCATAAAAAATAAAAAAAATTAAAAAGACTGCTGCTCGCCTGGGCCCCCTTGTGGCTGTGGGCCCCTGGGCCTGTGCCCAGTTTGCCCACATTATAATCTGGCCTTGACTTTTACATAGAATATACTCCCACTCAAGTTCATCAGTCTTTGTGTGCATCTTCTCCATCTTCTCAAACCTACAGTGAATCGGGGCGGGCGGCAGCTCATGCTGAACCTGGAAGTTTCATCCTGTTAAAAGCAAGTTTTCCTCTCCACTGTCACTACATGCTATGGCAAGTCAGTGTTTCAATGTAATCTCCTGGGTTTCTTTACATGGGAAATTTTAATTGGAAAAATAAATTGAACTCAGTGCACTGATAAATAGGTTCAGTTGAAATGTTTACTTTGTAACGTGTCTAGAAACGACTCTTGCTGTGATTTGGCGCTAAATAAAAATGAATTGAACTGAATTGAACTGAAATGAACCCTTCATCCATCTGGACTTTGAATACTATATTATTTAAATAATGTTATAAATGTTGCAGCTTTGCTATGGACTAAATACTTTAAACCATTTTATTGCAGACATAAGTTATCTGGGTTTTATTACAATCACTCCTTGAACATATTTTAACAGGCACTAATAGACATAGAAAAACAAATGTGTCCTATTTTCAGATCTATTTTCTAAATTGTATCTTGTTTTAATCTATATGCTTAAAATTAAGCCAGAAGATCTGACAAGTTACACAGAAATATTTACAAAATCCTTAAATAAAACGTGAGATTCATATAAATGCATGTTTGCACTGGAAGTATATAGATATAAATTGTGTCTGCATGATGGTGAAGGTAATCTGTGCATCAAAACTGAACTTTGGTTCAACAAACATCCTCTCTTTCTCTGTGGTCTGATTGGCTGATTGGAAACATGTTTCAGTTTTATTTCCGTCCTGGAAGGGTGGGAACAAAGTTCTGAGCCTGAAACTTTCTCAGAACATGCACTCCTCCAACCTCTGGATCTTGGAGCCACTCTGGGGTCTGGACTCCATCCGTCTGCGGGGTGGAGACAGGAGGCCACAGAGGATGGACCACTAGACGTCAACACCTCCACATCTCCCTCACCTCCTTTCAGCTCAGTCAAGATCGATGCTTGAACTGAGCCGGAGCTCCTCAGCGTGAGACTGTAACACAGGAGAGCTGGTGTTCATTATTTTTTGAACAGTGACTCGGAATTTTGTTTGGATTTTTGCGCATCTGGTGCGCCAAAATGGATTACAGCGCGCAGGCTGCAGATCCATGATTCGAGTTTTGCTCCGTTCCTGCAGCATGCTGTTTGTCCTTATGCCCAGATAAGACCTGTTAATGGGACCGCGTCATGTCCTTCTGCTGGATTGAGATGGACAATGAAGTTATGGGATAGCCTGACCACTTGTTTGGTTCTGCTGAGCGCCGTGCGGGTCAGCGCGCTGCTGCGGAACCGAAGAAGGTCCGCTGACGAGAGTCCCCTGGACGTCCCTCCGGTGCAAATGCGCCTGTCCATGATCTCTCCCGGAAACAGCCGGGAGGACGCAGCAGAAGGTGAGGACGCACAAGGAGAGACTGTGGAGGACAGAGTCAGACATCAAAATAAGACATTATGTTATTTCAATTAAAAGTTATTTCTCAGAGGAAGAATTGCATTAACTCGAGCATGAACAAAAATGTTATTTAAAGTCAAATATACCATTTAATACGGGGTAAACAAGACCTCTTAGGGCCTTTATCCTTAACAGGATTTGTACTTTCTTCAAAATCCTGCTCCATTAAACCTGTCTCATGCCCTCTAGTGGACTAATTAAGCACTGCAGGTGGCAAGCAAGATGTTTTATGTAATGTTTTGTTATTGGCAAAATAGATCGGCTACATTAATCAAATTAATTAAAAATTTTCTTGTTCAGATATTTTGATCTGTATTTTTGAGAAAGCTCTTCAACAACCTTAGTTTGGAGAAATGCAGATGAGTTCTGACCTGACAGTTGAGTTAAGCCTGGGGCACAGCGGAGGCAGTCGCGTCACGTTGCATTGCGATTTTGAGAAGTCAAGTGGTTGCGCCACGCCACTGAGCGCTTCTTGGAAAGTCGCAACATCATGCGGGATTTGAGAACAGGAAGAAGGAAGTGACTCTATTGTTTATATGTGATCAGACTTGCTGTCGTGTTTTTTGAGACTAGAGTTCATTAAAAATGGGTAAGCACACTAGTTATATGAATATTTTAAGACCAATAGTACTTTAAAGTTATCAAAACATGTGGTTGGGTTTGTGCCGTAAAGCCGTTCCACATGGTAATATCTGTTGTAAAGTACTCCACAATGTTGTAAACAGCCGTGGCGCCTCTGCGCCGCTTGAGTTTGAACTGGCGCCTATCTTCAACACCTCAGCGTGACGTGGCGCTTCTGGGAAGTGGCGCGACACTCCCCGTGTGCCCACCCTCCTTAACTATAATGGCTTCTATTCAAAATGGGTGCCGTGCGTCTGCCTCCGGTGTGCCCTAGGCTTTAGTCTTTTTTCCAATTTAAAAGATTTCTTAGCATCATTACATTGTTTTTTTTAAGCAGTGCGCTTCCAACACTCTCTATAGTGGGGACGGTGTGCTGCAGACCTCTACTCAGGACGTTGTGGATTGGGGGGCAGAATACTGACATGTCTTCCATTGAGGATGCAGAGTCTGGAGACTTTGAGTTGGCCTCTCAAATCTCTGGTGCTGAGGTCACTGATGTGGTTAAAAAGCTCCTCTGTGGCAAGGCTCCAGGGGTGGATGAGATCCACCCGGAGTTCCTTAAGACTCTGGATGTTGTGGGGCTGTGTTAGCTGATGCAGCTCTGCAATATTGCGTGGACATCTGGGGCAGTCCCACTGGACTGGCAGACCGGGGTGGTGGTTCCCTTATTTAAAAAGGGGGACCGCAGGGTGTGTTCAAACTTTAGAGGGATCACACTCCTGAGCCTTCCTGGTAAGGTCTATTCAGGGGTTCTGGAGAGGAGGGTCCGTCGGATTGTTGAACATCAGATTCAGAAGGAGCAATGTGGTTTTCGTCCTGGCCGTGGAACACTAGACCAGCTCTATACCCTTAGGGGGATCCTGGAGGGTGTGTGGGAATTTGCCCAACCAGTCTACATGTGTTTTGTGGATTTGGAGAAGGCGTTTGACCGCGTCTCTAGGGGGGCCCTGTGGGGGTACTCCAGGAGTATGGGGTACCAAGCCCTCTGAATACGGGCTGTTAGGTCCCTGTATGACCGGTGTCAGAGCTTGGTCCACATTGCCGGCAGTAATTCGGGCCCGTTCCCAGTGAGAGTTGGACTCCGCCAAGGCTGCCCTTTGTCAACGATTCTGTTCATTACCTTTATGGACAGGATTTCTATGTGCAACCAAGGTGTGGAGGGCATCCGTTTTGGTGGCCTGAGGATCAGGTCTCTGCTTTTTGCAGATGATGTGGTCCTGTTGGCTTCATCAGAACGTGATCTTCAGCTTTCACTGGAGCGGTTCACATCCGAGTGTGAAGCAGCTGGGATGAGAATGAGCTCCTCTAAATCTGAGACCATGGTCTTGATTCGGAAAAGGGTAGAATGCCTTCTCCGGGTCAGGGATGAGGTCCTGCCCCAAGTGGAGGAGTTTAAGTATCTCAGGGTCTTGTTCACGAGTGAGGGAAAACTGGAGCATGAGATCGATAGGCGGATTGGTGCTGCATCTGCAGTGATGCGGACGTTGTACCGGTCTATCGTGGTGAAGAGAGAGCTGAGTCTGAAGGTGAAGCTCTCGATTTACCAGTCGATCTATGTTCCTAGCCTCACCTGTGGTCATGAGCTTTGGGTAGTGACCAAAAGAACGAGATCGCGGATACAAACAGTCGAAATGTTTTCTCCGAAGAGTTGCTGGGCTCTCCGTCAGAGATAGGGTGAGAAGCTCGGTCATCCGGGAGGGGCTCGGAGTAGACCCGCTGCTCTTCCACATCGAGAGGAGCCAGTTGAGGTGGTCAGGATGCCTCCTGGACGCCTCCCTGGTGAGGTTTTCTGGGCACGTCCAACTGGGAGGAGACCTAAAGGTAGACCCAAGACACGTTGGAGGGACTATGTCTCTCACCTGGCCAGGAAACGCCTTGGGATTCCCCGAGAGGAGCTGGCCCAAGTGGCTATGGAGAGGGAGGTCTGGGCCTCTCGACTTGGGCTACTCTCCCAGCGACCCGACTCCGGTTAAGCAGATGAAAATGGATGGATGGTTGGATGGGCTGAAATCTGACATGTATGGCAATGGTCCGGTTACAAAACTGCATTTGCATGAATCCAGTTCTACCTCCTCTTACACTTTTTGATGATTTGAGTAAAACAACCTGAACATTTCCAACACTTTCTGACTGCTTGTTGCGAATTTACTAATTTTCTGTCACTGCATTCCACTGTGGAGGCCCTTGACCACTCCTTCATTGGCAGACTGAGACATCCAAAATGTAAAACACTGCCGTAGGTCATTCTAGTGATGGGATTTATGGCTCTTTCATGGAAGTCGTTCATTAGTCGGTCGTGTACCTCAAAGAGCCATTCAAAAGACAGACTACTTTGAACGAAGCGAAGCCAAGAGAGCAGGGGTATTAAGGGCAATGTGTTCCTCCGCTGTCTGTGAGGGCGCACGGTGGTTGGGTAGTGATCCTCCGACATCCGTCACAGCGGTGGGTTGGGGTTGAGCAGGTGCGCTTTACCGACTTCTGAGGAAGTTTGTTACTGGAAGACAAAATTAACAGTTCTCTACAGGAACTTTATTCTCATTGTTCACTTTGAAAACCCATTCAAAAGATTAGATTAGTTCGTTAACATCCCATCACTAGGTCATTCATCCCCTCTGCAGTAAGAGTGTAGAAGGCAAGACTGCTTTATAGAGCACATTTCAAACACAGAGGCAATTCAATGTGCTTTACAGTTATCAGGACATGATGGGAAAACAAATTCCTCAGTTTAACTGGAACTGGCATTATCCTGTTAAACAATAACATCAATGCAATGCAACATTCCATGTGTGTTCAGTATTTTTGCAATACCGGATGTGCATTGGTATGTCTGTGTCCCTTATGCCGCAAAGTTCTGGAAACACAAACATTTAATATTTTCCGTAACCAGTTTGAACTGCAGTTTTTTCAAACATGATGGACTTTTGTAAGAATAATGTTCTACTGATGTTTTTCAGATGCTGAAGAGGAGCTTTTCCGGGGTGATGTTGTGGAATTCATCAAAATAATAATCCGACGAGTACGACTCTCCTCCTCCTACTCTTCATCATTCCTCCGGGAAAACTTCAACACGAGGACTCGACACAGAAGGGAGAGGAAAAGAGCAGCACTGGAGAGTGACAAAGGCATAAGAAGAGATCCCGGAGGAGAGGAAATGATCAGGAAGGTTAGAAGAGGAGGAGGAAGTGGACGAAGACAGAGCTGTGTGCTCAAACAGATTCACCTCAACGTGTCGGACCTTGGTCTGGGATATCTCTCCAGTGAGGAAATGATATTCAGATACTGCTCAGGGCCCTGCAGGAAGTCAGAGACCAACTATGATAAGATTCTTTCTAACCTTGTTTTTAAAAAGAGGCTCCCCCCTAAAGACAGGCCCCCGCAGGCCTGCTGTCGGCCGATAGCGTACGACGATGATATCTCGTTTCTGGACGACAGCCTCGTTTACCACACCGTGAGAAAGCACTCCGCAAGAAAATGTGGCTGTGTTTAGCAGGATTGGGTGATTTGATTTGTTTTGATCTGAAATAATATAAATGACCTGAGTCCATTTACAAAGATATTATTGAAATTTAAATCCCAAATAATCCTAATGATGTTCTTTTCAACCTCATCTACACACATATTTAATCTGAACCCATTTAGAACTGAAGAAAGAATCCATCTCAAACAAATAATCAACTGATTTTTGTATCATAGAAATAAAAGTTATTCTTATATGAACTCTATTTATATGATGTATTAACTTATTGATATTTATTTTTGTTTCTTGCAAAGTAATAAATGCTATTTATTGCTGTGATGACAGGTGTTTAAATCCAGCTGATTCACTTTCACAGATGGATTAGTTTACAAATCAGGATTTCACATAGCAGGAACCTGCTGAGTCATGACAAAGTGCTTCACAACAACACAATAAATGTCAGTGACAGATGTATTAACTAAATGTGTTATTCACATAAAAAATAATGATTGGGTTTAAACTCATCTGGAGAACACGCGTTCATCTTGCTGGGACTCCCCATGACTCTTTAAAGGAAACATGTTCCAAATGGAAAATCAGATGTGCTGGGATTACACAAACTTTAATCTGCAGCTGTGAAGCTGAATTATTTAGATAATCTGACAGCATGTGTTTGATGTGCAAACAGGGTATACCCACTGAGATGCAAATTTCAACACTCATGCTGCCGTTAGAAATGCTGAAGAAACATCTTAGCTGGTTGAATTTTGGTTAACTTTTTGTCTTGTAGCGGTAAAAGCCACTTCCAAAATCTGGAATGTTTTGTGGTGTTTTAAAAAGTCAGCTCAAGTAAATGTAGAAGAATGAAGGCAAAACACACCGGCAGCATTTTACACTGTAAAAAATGCTGCCTTTGTCCTTTTTTATTAAACACACACACACTTTGATGCAGTCTACTGAAATCTTTACATATATATTTTTGGGATTCAACAATGTTGTTTTTTTTAAATCCCAGTTTTTTCATGTGCATTTCTTTCAAAAGCAGCTCTTCTCTGCTTTTATATCCAGAGTTTGATTGATCAGTCATGTATGAGCTTAGGCTTAGTTAGTGGTTGTATAAATTTGCTTTAAACTGTCCAATATCATAAAAATTGTTGATAAATTTCTTCTCAATTGACCCATTCATATATTTATGTTAGTACGATAAAGGTAATTTTTTGAGCTTGTTATTTATATCCACAAAAGTTTTGATTGCTGCTTTTTTACTTCAATATGTGTCTGCAGTTTCCTTAAAATGTGATCTCTGAACTTTTCAGACTTTGCATAATTAGAAAACTTCTGCTAATGTTGTGTTTTATGGACCAAGATTATTGGTGATAAAAGTATAGATTTCAGGTGTTATTTATTCTAAAATTTGGAAATCCTTGGTACAGTGATGTCATTATTTAGCCTACAGTTTGCCCTGAGGAGCGACACTTTCTGTGTGTTTGGAGCATCGCTTTAATGAGCCACATCAGTGCTTTCCCAGGGAGCTGAAGAAGACAAATCATGCAAGGTGTTACCCACATTATTGAGTTATTGTGTTAAACATTTATAACTATATATTAGTGATGCACCGATATGACATTTTTGGGCCGATATCAGTATCTGAAATTAAGATCACTGTTATGACTGATAACCGATATTTGCCGATACCAATATACTAATGCTTCTAAAATCAGCAGATTTTCTATAGAATGAAAATTTTTAAAGCTGGATTTACATTATTATGTACACACACCAGACACGTTTACAGTTCTGAGATTATTTCATTCACTGTTCACATGACTAAACACTTACACATCACCCTCTGAAACAGGCAAACAAATGAAGACAAGATGGAAAAAATTCTGGTTGTAAATGTCGGCCCGGTTTTATATGTATATATAATCCATCTGATGAACCGAGAGAGAGGCTGTTTGTAAAATATGGCATTCAATGACCAGAAGAAGCAACTTTTTTATAGCGCACTGTGAGACAACAAAGCCCTGTGAATTACGCCGTTGTGGAGGGATTCAGCTGCATTTTTCAGTGTTGAGTTTAAGAACGCTGACTTTAAAGAAGTGTAAACGCTGCTTTTTTTTGTCGACGTCTGACAACCTGTTAGAAGCCTAGAATTTTAGACCATCAGTTTACCGAAGCAAAATCATTTTGCTCTGCATGTTGGACTAGTCATACTCCATTGGAACCTTTGCAGCCCCGGTTACTCTGGATACTGGCTAATCACAGTATTCTAACATTTTGATGGGTCAGTCACAGTTTGGTGGATGGGATTTTACTGCGACTGAGGGAAACTAAGATGGCAGCGGCTTGTTTGAAATTGACTCATTGACTGCCATCCATAGCGGTGAGTATGTCATATTGTTTGTTGTCCAATAGAATGCATAGAAAGTTTGAAATACAACCGTAGACACCTCACCACCACCCCGCCACCACGACCACAACTGACAGCTGTCAATGGGTTAGGATGACTTGCCAGTAGGGATGTGTATTGGTGACACTCTGGCAACACGATACAGGGGAGACTTGCAAAACATTCAGCCAGATGATATTTTTCGACTGAAATTATTGTAGAAAAATTCAATAAACAGTCCAAACTGATACATAACATGTTTAACATGAGGTATCTGAATCATAATAGGGCTATTTACATTTCAATGGTGGAAACAAAACCCATAACTAGCGGTCGGCATTTGAATTGTGCCAAAAGAAAAGAAAATACACAACTGTTTGCATGTAAATTCTTCCAAAAATTCGATTCATGACTTTTGAATATCAATGTAATATTCCAGGAAAATATGTTGCGATATATTGCCATATCGATATTTTTTTACATCTCTACTTTCCTGGCCAACCCGTCAGCACAAGTTACCAAAAGTTTTGCTTGATGACTATCAGGAGATTCTGAGTACCTACACCAGCTCAGGTACTTCAATAGTTCCTGAAAATGACCCGGATAAGTCGGCTCGCTGATGTGGAGGCACGCACAGGTCGCAAAGATCCGGTAAAATTTGCCCAAAGTTGCACTTGTGGAAACAGCCCTAATGGGGTGTTTCCATAACCATGCAGGGCTAAACTAAACAGAACAGGAGTACAACTTAAACAATAATCATAAACACATGGTCGTGTTTTGTCGTTGATTCTTTTCTGTTACTCCTATCATTTTAGCCATCTTGGTCCCCCCCCCCCCCCCCCCCCCAAGGAAAACATTGCAAAACTAATTTCAACTGAAAGTGTTTTTTTAGTATAAGGCTGTGTTTCTGTCATTTATTCCACAGTTTTCTGTTTTAATTGCAGTAATAAAAAATGACTTGAAAGAATAAAGTTTTATTTGAAGAAGAAGAAAATATCATTTCTATAGCGCCTCTCAAGATAAAAATCACGAGGCGCTTCACAAAAACATAAAATGTAAAACTATAAAAAATAATTTAGAAAATGGTTAAAAATGTATTTAAAATAGACACTTGTGATTTTAAAAAATGTTAAGAAAGAGAGAGAATGAATAGGAAAGAGGGAAATCAGTTTATCCTGAGGAAGGTGGAATAGGTGGGGATAGCTGAACAAGGAGTTGTTCTTGTCCAGCTTAAGAACTGTATGGTTAAATTTCCTTGGATGTATACATTTATTCTGTCCATCTATTTATAGATAATATATATTTAGATCAAAAGATCCATCTATACATGCTCTAGAAGAAGGAGAAGAAAATATCTTTTCTATAGCGCTTCTCAAGATAGAAATCACGAGGCGCTTCACAAAAAAGAATGTGAAAATATAAAAAAGCATTTAGAAAATGTTTAAAAATATATTTAATATGTGCTAAAAGAGACAATTGTGATTAAAAATGTTAAGAAAGAGAGAGAGTGAATAGGAAAGAGGGACATCAGTGGATCCTGAGGAAGGTGGAATAGGTGGGGAGAACAGAATAAAGAGAGAGTGGTGAAGAAGGTCTTACAAAAGCCAGCTTGAACAAGTGAGTCTTCAGCTGCTTTTTAAAGGAGACCACTGAGTCCACTGATCTCAGGCTCAGGGGGAGAGAGTTCCAGAGTCTGGGGGCCACAGCAGCAAATGATCTGTCATCTTTGGTCTTTAGGCTGGTGCTGCACAACCAGTAGGCTTTGATCACTGGACCTCAGGGACCTGCTGGGGGTGTAGAAACTAAGAAGATCACCAATGTAAGATGGTGCTCGTCCATGTAAGGCCCTATAGACCAGAACCAGGATCTTGAAATGAACCCTGAAGTTGACTGGCAGCCAGTGAAGCTGGAGGAGAAGCAGGGTGATGTGGGTGTGTTTGGAGGACTTGGTCAGAAGCCGAGCACAGGCATTCTGAACCACCTGTAGACGGTTCAGGGAGGTTCTGCTCAGACACGTGAAAAGAGAGTTGCAGCAGTCTAAGCGTGAGGAGATGAAGGTGTGGAGAATAGTCTCAAGTTCGGAGCGGGACAGAATGGGACTCAGCTTAGCAATGTTCCTGAGATGGAAGAAGGAAGAGCGAACAAGAGAACTGACATGAGAATCCAGGGTGAGAGCTGGGTCAAAGGTCATGCCAAGATTCCTGACAGAAGGTTTGGTGTGAGAAGCAAGCTGACCAAGAGAGTCTCTGACTTTGGGAACCAGCTTGTCTGGGGCACATATGAGGATCTCAGTCTTATCTTCATTCAGCTGAAGGAAGCTCCCAGCCATCCAGGTTTTGATAGAGTCTAAGCAGGTGTGTAACAGCTGCAGCTTAGACATCTCATGGGGCTTAAAGGAAATGTACAGTTGGATGTCATCCGCATAAAGATGGTAGGAGATTCCTTTAAAGGAGCTCAGGATGTGCTGAGGAGGAAGCAGATAGAGGAGGAAGAGCAGAGGTCCCAGCACAAAACCTTGTGGGACACCATGGGTAAGGGAGGTGATGGAGGACCTAAAATTGGAGACAACCACACTCCAGAGCAGTTCCTGATAGGCTACCCAGTCTCTCAGCCTCTCCAGTAGCAGGTGATGGTCAACAGTGTCAAAGGCTGCAGTCAGGTCCAGCAGGACCAGAACAGACCTGTCGCCTTCATCACTGTGTATGTAATTTCACACCATTTGCTCTGAGTTCAATTTGGCACAAAAGTACAACAATACAATATTTACTTTGATCCTGACATAGATGGGCTTAAACACAAACCACGAGAAGAAAAAAGAAACAGTGACTCAGAGAAGCCTCCTTTCTTTTCTGAAGTTAAGTGAGTTATAAAAACAGCATTAAATTATTGTATTCAGGTAATTTTTGTGTATGAAAGGTGACAATAGGGCTTTCAGACCGAGGAAAAACATAAACGCTGATGTTATCGAATGACAGGAAGAAGCTTTGAACAGAAAAGACTGTTAGATCCAAAGCTAGAGTGTGGCCTGGAATATAAAGAAGGTGAGACTGACGCTGAGCAGTCAAAGGAAGCTGATGAAAGGCGAGCGTCAGATCTTACAGCATAAAGAAAACAACACCGATGAATGAGCGACCAAGTCAAGAGCTGATGGTGGAAGAGAAAGAGAGGGTGAAGAAAAGACAGAATGATTAAAAGAAGGCAGAAATCCAGAGCAGACAAAGAAGACAAAGATGTCAGAACTGGAGAACGTGAGAGGAGAGGCTGTGTCTTACTTAACTAATGCGTGTGGTCGACATCTGATCTCCTCGTTTTTGCTCACGTTTCACCCCGCTGTCCTCTCAACCTCCCTTAACAACTGAAAGAGCAAACCAAACTAGTACTTTTCCATGTGTTTACAGCAGGTACACTGAAACATGCTGCAAAAACTAAGCTCATATTTTTTGATATTTAGTATTTCAGCAGCTGTCTTTTTCTGCAAAGTCACAAAAAGTTTCTATCCTCCACACATCACACCTTGCTTCTTGTGCTGATGAAGATGTTTAGGAAATTGTGTAGAAAACGTGATCTTTTCTCTCAGTTGCTGTTCTCACAGTTAACTTTACAGGGAGAGGGGAAATCTTCAGGCTCTAACAGCATGAAATACATGAGCAGCCAAAACGTGATGCAGAACGTATGGTGTGGAAATAACTGTTTCCTTTACATCATGTCAGGAATATCACATGTGTCCAGATGCATCTGCAGACCCAACAGGCAAAGGCAAATTTTGCGTTCGTGCATTTCCTCTAAAACGTGCATGAGTAAAAAACAAATAAAGCTTCCCGATTTTTGATTAGAAATACAAAAATATACTTTTCTAGGGAT